GGAGGCAGTAGAAGACAGGAGGGCCTGGCGTGCTCTGGTCCATGGGGTCACGAAGAGTCGGACACGACTAAACGACTAAACACACACAATGAAAACAGTATGAATGTGGATCTGAACCATTTAAAGAAATCAAAGCATTTTTTAAAAAGCCCTACCTCCAATATAAAGTATTTTACAGAATCTAAGTGAATATTTATGTCTGCAGATGTTCAGTGGCATAACTCAGAGCAGCAAATAGCTGCTAATTAATTACCTGATGAATTCTCAGTAGCATGCCAGCTGTGTGACTCAGCAACTAGAACTTTAATCAGACTCATTAATTACACAAATGCACTTAAGCAGGCATAAGAATTGCTTTGGATTCTGACCAATAATTTTACTTGTACCTGTTTTCTAATCATGTTGTGATCTGCTTTGGTCCAGTTCTGGGACCTATATAAATCATATAGTAATAAGGAATACTTATTAAATAATATAAATTAACAAATGTCACTTATACATTTTAATGATCAATAACATATTTATCATTAATAATAACTGAATAATATAATACTACTATTAATAAGAGGAAATGGTCCTTTAAGAATGATAGAACACATGAGAACATGGCCTGGTTCCAAGAAGTGGTTTGATTTAATGAATGCAGGAGAGTTTTACGGCAACTTTCTGGTGTGTTCTTCTGCCAGAGGAATAATAAACGGAATTAACTGAGTCACATACACATCCATGGTGAATACCAGATGTGACATACTTCCTCTATCTCTCAAGAAGCATAATGAATATATTAAATGAAATATTTGATATAGTTTAGTCTGATTCTAGAGACGGTGTGGCTATTCCTTTTACAGCTTAAGTTAGACAAAATAGAAGCATTGTTACAGCTGAGATTTCCAACAACATGGGAGGCTAGATGCGATATGTTCTGGATGTAGCTGTCTTCCCCCTGAATCCAGAAGACACTCCTGGGTCCAGGAGGATCTTCTCAGGTTGGGGTGTGTCTGAGATATCCATTTTGGCCCTCCTATGAAGAACCACTGGGGGCCATACACCCTGAAATGCATCCTTTTGCAAACTGGTAAATAATTTGCATGGCGTTAATTGCATGGTCACAGAACAATGTGTTTTGGGGGCTTGCTTGGGCAATTTGTAGGTATTGAGCTGATGCTCAGGTTTGTCAGATAAAAAAATTATTTCGACCCAGCTATGTACATTCAATTTTTTAAAGAAGAAACCAAAGGGAACTATTTAGTACATTTTAAAGAATGACAAAGGAATTTGTAACTTCTAAACATTGTAATGATAATGGAAACTGGCTGTTTAAGGGATTACAACCTTGAGGTCATACTGTAACGTTTGCTGGGAGCTACAGTCTAACCACGTCTAGAGGCTGCTATTTTTCCACCTTTGTCTTAAGATACTGTACTGTTTCATGAACTATTCCAATGGTTCTTAACCTTTGTTACTCAGATGCTTTTGAACTGCAACTCCCAGAAACCCCAGTCAGGACAGCTGGTGGTGAAGGCTTCTGGGAGTTGCAGTCCAAAACTCCTGAGTAACCCAAGGTTAAGAACCAGTGAGCTATTCAACTCCACACAGTTCATTCTATGCTGGTCATGGATTCTGACATACAGTGAACCTGTAAAATGTTCCCAACACATTGAAAGCTCAGCAGGTCCATTTCCTAGCTGTTGTCTGGTGGTTTTGTGCTTCATTCCCAAAACTGGCAACTGGAAGACACATAGTGACCAGGTCTCTGAATCCCTTTGTGAGCTTAATCTGCTTCATTTGTGGGTGCACCTGGCAGGTGGCCAGGTGAATGAAATGACTGCAGTGAAGTGCTGTTTTAAAAAATGTCAAGTGTCACCACAGGAGTGAGCTTTGTTTCTGTGTTTGCTTCCTTGCTACACCTGTCTAGATGCAGTAAACATGGCCTTTTGTCCTCTCTGTTTAATTTAGTTCCTAAAAGATTCCAATCCTAGAGTTAATGATGCCTATCAAAGAAACTGGGAAAGGGTTGATTATAAGAGGAATGCATATCTTTTTTCCTGTTTTAAGTGCTGGCTCTTGTCAAAATAGAGAACAAGAGCGTGCTGCATTTAGGACTTTTCAGAAATTATCCTTATGCAATTAATTTTATGGATAAAGCCAATATATTTGTATGCTGCATCGCATTCTGTGCGTTGAATCCAAACATACCCATACTTACATATCACCAACATTCATGCAACTAAACCTTAAAAAGAAAAAGGTCTATGACGAATTCTGGACCAATCCATTGTTATCTGGAAAAAGAAAAGTACTGCAAATGAACAATGCTTCTACATATACAAAGATATCTTTATTTTGAGTCAGTTTGGGAGAGAAAGTTAACATTTCTTTAAACTCCGTATTAAATTATCTGCCACTCAGATGTCTTACAGTATTTTCATTATGCTTTCCACTTGAACTTAGTGCATTACAAGTTAATTGGCACAAGAATTGTGCGAGTGTGTTTGTCTATGAACACACACACACACACACACGCATGCATGTATGAGAACAGTTTGATTTCATGTGGTTATGAAGGCCTTGTGCAGAGTAAGAAGAAAAAGATAAATTATTTACACATAAAATGCCATTGTTTGATCTTTCGCTTTTATAAACTTTTAAAAGGCCGATTTAGCAGCATTCTCTGTACACAGAGCAGATGTAGATGTTTGGGTCCAGATATGCCTCTTTAGGAACATTACAGTTTGTAAAAGCAGTGAAAAACACACATCCTCATCTACCTTTGTGAAATTAAAAACACACAGCAGCTTTATCTTGTATGATATATACATTTGGATTAAGGTCACCATATATAAAATATTGGGCATATTGCTTGATATGAAAGTCAGTGTAACTATGGTATGTCCCGGTGCTTATGTGCTCTTCTAGTGCCTTTTTATAACCATACCTCAATATATGTGCCATATCTCCATTAATGAATTTACCTCAAAAGGGTCATATCTAGAGCCACACAAAATCTTTAATGAGAAGAGAAAGAGTTGGCCAAAGAAAGAGAGAGAAGAAAATTGTTACATGAAAAATATAGTATTTTTGTTTTTATGAAACCAAACTACTTGAAAAACCATTCAAATTAGCCAAATAGGTTTTTTAAAGGGTGTAAACAGTGCCAGTGAAAATTACAAGAAAAACATTTCCACCTCTAAGACCTTATTGACATTATCGGAGAGAGGCTGCCTTCAGAAGGGGCACAGCAGATGTACATATGGTTTGTGCATACAATCTTCATGTTGAGTGTAACTGTCAAATAGAGGTCATGTCGTCTCTCCAGTTATGCTGCTCAAGAGACATCCTAGCATCTGGTGGCCATGCTTCTCACTACAAAACAAATGTATGACTCCTCTCTTTAGCTTCTATGCTAGAAACATGGCAAGCAGACATCATAGTTACTCATACATCCAGTGTTTGGCAATTATAGTGGCAATCTGACACCTTTGAACTCATGCTTACTGAAATACTGGTCAAGGGGATACAGTGATGGGAGTTCATGATAGTTAAAAGGAATAATCCACATCTTTTGTCAAGGATTTGTCCCTTTATTTAATGAGTTTTTTGCTTACTACATGCGGTACGGCACAATATTTACAGAAAGCCATGTCTAGGTCAAAAGACCTTCCCAAGGTTAAAAGAATGGTGCCTTGGGCTTGTATTCTCTGACCTACACAGGAACCCTCATGTGAGCAGGTGTGTATTACACATGAGTAACACACACACACAGACAGACAGACAGACAGACAGACAGACAGACACACACACACACAAGGTTCTTCTACTGAAATGAACTGGGAAGCCTTTGCAGTTCAAGGCGAACTCCAGGCCTATAAGGTACTATACACACAATCTCAGTTAGCCAAGTAAAAATGTTTAAAGCATTGCTTGTTCAGACTAAAACAAGTATGTAACAGTAATACTGCCAGTTTATTATTGTAGTCCAAGAACAACACAGCCTCCACCTAGAGAAAGATTTGTCTAGCTGCCCACAACAATATGAACTCTTAAATTCCATCCTACTCTCTTGACCCCAAAGAAAGCATAGTTCCTAGCTCCTGGACTAGCTCAAGATAATCACTTCCTGATGGGAAGGTAAAAATGGGCATCTCCTTTGTCACGGCATCAGTTGAATTTTACTTCAGCAGTTGTGATGGGACACCATCCTCTGCTGGGCCATAGAGGGTACATGTCTCAGTTCTACCCTCTTATGACCCATCACTGTTTATCACTATCCTCAATCTATGTTGCCTTGAGGGGGTTGCTTCACTTTTGCCTCACGACCAGCTCTCCAACAAACTGCCTTTGAAATGTGTGGTAGTTTTGAAATTCAATTAAGGGGAGGAAGTCAAAATTCTCAACGTGAAAATGGGTGTAAACCTTTGGATGTACCTGAAAGAGAAATGGATAAAGTACAACCAAAGGACAGCTCATAAACCTCAATAAAGAGTGATAATTGTAGCTTCTGGAAGCCTCTGTGACTCATGATTCACCTTCTAAATAGGCTACAAGGTCCCCTTAAACCATTTAACAGTTCCAAATACTCATTTTTCAAAACTGGAAGTAAAATACCAGACATTCTTGATTTCATTGTGTGCCCCTTTTTTTTCTTTTCAGCAATCTCTGTGGATCCTGGGATTAAAAAAATAAAAAAAGTCCTCACCAAGATTTTCTACCCCTAAACTATAACTGTGGCTGCCATGTCACTTGCCATGAGGAAACAAAATATTGTTTGATTTAGGCAAAAACAGTTTATGCTAAATATATACTGAACTAGCACTACATGGATATTACCTGCTAAAACACAAATGAGAGAAATTGTGTATAATTCAGCAAATTACGCAGTTCAGTAAAAAATAACCATGACTACATTGCACTGAAATCACTCAGGTTTAAGTTAGTTGCAACTGAATTCCTTTAAAACACACGCACACAACAATGCAACTCTATAGCTTCAAACACACATTTGTCACAAATACGTTTTACAGGATTTTGTCTTCCCTCTTGAATCCACACTGTACATTCCGAGATTGTCTCACCACAATGAAGGCAAAATAACATTCAAACACAGCTACATTTTGGGGTGGGGATGGGGGTTTCAACCCCTTAAAATTATAAAGATGGTATTTGGTCAAAAAAACCCTGATTACATTGAAACTATTGACTATTTCATTCCATTTCAAACAGCATTTTCACCAGAGAAATCCAACATGCCCCACTGACGTTCCATATTTTTAAATGCAGAAACTTAAATCAGAACCCTACAAAACAATGTATACAGCTGTAGTGGTCTCATAGGTTTCTACTACAACCACTAATCTGACTGAACAGGTAGTTGCTTTATAGTTTACAATCCAGCTTGCCCATTCAGCTGTGCAAGGGATTTTATGGTCAGAAGCATTAAGAACTCCCCTGCATGCTCAAGGAGTGCACTTTTAGCCTAATGATAAACAGTCATGTAGCACCTTGAAGGCCAGGCTTTGCCATTGATACCAACTATGGATAAAAGAACAGTGGCAACTACCTACAGTTCTCTTAAATCCAGTTTGTAAATTCGTTATGTTTGTTTATATGCTCACTTGATGTAGCCTTTCTGGAGTTTCACTGAATACTCTGCAAGCTCACAGACAAAATGACTGTGATTAGTTTTTAGTAGTTGATGGATGGTTAAAAAGAGTACTATCAGCCTACCAATGTGGGTCTGTGCATGCCAGCCTAACTGATCTGAACAGCTGCCAATTTAATTTGTTACTACAATTTGCAAAAATGCACATAAATACATTAGTAACATACAAAGAACACAGCACTACTAATATTATGCGATGCAGTGCCTACTGTATAATAACTGCCTTTTGTTAATAAGAAAAACAAGAATAAATGCTATTATATATATATAAAACACTCTTCTTCAAAAGTCCATAGATGCAGGACAGCCACATTTCAGGCCTTTGCCTGAGCTACTTTCAGTTTATGAAGTTGAATCAACAACTTGGTATAGAATAAGCAGCAAAATAGGAAAAAAACACAGGAAACCATTAAAGCAATTGCAGTGTTCGTCAAAGAGTCATTCAGATGAAGTTTGGCCACAATCTGTTCATCTTCAGAATGGACATTTCTATCCATTACTCAGATAGCTTTTTGTCACTTACGTCAGTTGAGCTGAATATCTCTGTCCACAGAAATCTTGAATATCTACTTTACCTTTTACGGGCAATGTTTTCTATTTAGACAGAAGTTCATTGGGATTTCACGAAGATAAGGGAGAAGAAGCCGCCAGCCCGCCACCTGTTTCAGTTAAGAGGCATGGACCCCCCCAAAAAATGTTCTCTTTGCCAGTTGTCTGCCCTGCTAATGATCTTGAAAACACGGGCCCTTCCTCAAGATGACATCATCCAACGCAATTTCTCCAGCTTTTCCTATCCCTTTCTCTCCTTTAAAAATAACCTGCAGAAAGAAGACGTTTTAAACTATGTTTAGAAGGTGTTTTACACAGAGTGAGTTTATTACGCGACTCGAACTTCTAGCACTGGTCCTGGGGATTCCCAGCACTTATCCAGAACGAGTCTCTGTAACATTCACAATTTCTCCCCAGTGTTCTAAATGAGATATGTCGAAGCAAAGAACCCTTACCCAGACAGGTCCAGCTCATGGAGGCAGAAATACTAACGTTAATATAACCTTTCTAAGCTTATACGAAACGAGTGTATGACCAGATGATGAAAGGCTACAAACTTTAAATTCCCCTCTCTGTGAGCTGGCTATTTCCCACCTCATGAAGAATCTCTATTTCTGAACTTCCTTTTGCCCAGATCTTTAAAATTGTACTGAATAGGAAAATGAGTTGATCGCTTCTCTTGCTTTGTCTTGAGCAGGGGTCTCCAAACTATGGCCCACCTTGCCTTTTTATTCAGCCCGGCAAACATCACAGGCTCAGATCCGCAGGCTCAGGTCCATTCACTTCAGATCATGTGGGTGTGCGGGCATAAGCACACGCATGTGTTCCTTCGGCCCTCAAAAATGTGGCAAATATATGATGTGGCCCTCACGCTGAAAAGTTTGGAGTCCCTTGGTCTTGAGGAATGGAATGAAGCAGATACACCAGGCTCCAAATCTCCTGTAGGCCCAGTCTACCTCCTTTAGATAGACTAAACTTCCTGTTGAGCGCCACAAAATGTGCTTCTGAGCAGCATGTGCACTGTAGCGAATCAGTGCTAAACAGCACAGCACTACATACCCCAAAAAGTAAATAACATGAGAGCCACTTCTGAAGTACGATAGCAATGGTATCATTTATAATAGCTACACTATATGAGACTGGCAACATATGGGCTACAGGCAGCCATATGCTCCTATCAGTATCTAACATCTCTCTTTTTTAACTGATGAAAGAATTTAAAGGGCGGAAACAATCTATAAGCATAAGGGGACCCCAAGTTACTTACAAGCTCAGTCTAGCTCTAAAGCATTTTCTCTACTGTATATAGTACAAAGGAGAGATAAATGTAAGATGTTCCTTTCTAACTTGTCCTCATATATATAGATAGATTTCCTGGTTTCTTACAACACATTCTCCTATCAGCAGACTGGGAAACTGTACTTTATGTGCCCATTTACTGTATAAACCAGACTACAAAAGGAATGCAAATCTCCTAGAAGAAAAAAACAGGTATTTTGCAAAGGTCGGCCTCGTAAAGGAATTGATAGCTAAGCAGTAGGAGACATGCTTCATATGTTCTGTGACCACGTTAACAATTTTAATTATTAGAGCTCAGGTAACAGACCTGCAAACAGATACAATCCAACACTGAGTTAAGCAGAATTGTGTCCATTGAAATAAGGGGCTTAATTCCATGCTAGATCACCGTTCTGTTGAAACCCTAGAAGCAATTGCCATTTAAAATGAACACTACTGGACCAATGGTCTGATTTAGTTTAAACCACCCCTTAAGTTGGCAGGTAAATTACAATTCACATAGCTAATGTCCTTTGCTAGTGCTGTTATAGTTGAGTTATTGAGGCTGTAATTCTACATGCACTTACTTGAAAGTAAATCCTATTAAACTCAGCAGAGCTACTCCTGATTAGGACTGCCCTGCAAAAGATGCTAGGTGGGGGAACTGATCATTCAAAGAACAGCGATGCGGTCTTATGGAATTACGTTTCTGAACAAAGGTTTATCTCTTGCCAAGGCAAAGAGCAGACAGCAACATCACATTAATCACCCACAGACTCCCAAAATTAAAAACAAGGGATGGGCACAGACTGGTTCATTCCAGTCTGTAAAGGTGCAGTACAGGTGTTTTTTCCACCTCCTTATGGGGAACTACTAGCCCCACATAAAAATGTATCAGTTTAACCCACTAAAAAGTAAACAGAAAACTTCACCTCAAAATTAAGCGACACGGTAGTTTATTTCTTTTTTTCTATTTCCTACCCCCTCCCCAACTTATACTTACACTCCTGATGCCAGCTCCTTGCAATGTTATTTGTGTTTGTCTCCAGCCATGGCCACCATTCCTTCCCCAAACTGCTGGGCTATGAACGCCAGTCTTTCTAACAAACACTTGAAGCAAACCCAAATGTGGGCCAGATACTTTGTGCCGAAAGGACAGGCACAGATATCCCTCATGAGCTACGTGGCCAAGTGGAATGATCAAACGTGCAACATGGCCAGATTTTCCTTTGGGTTCAGAAATCGATAAATATTGCCCACCTGTTTAAAAACAACAACAAACAAACAACGCATGACAATATTCTTTTCCCTCCTCAAACACTTTTGAATATAACCTTGGTCAATGATTTAAAGCACAAAGATTTCAATAGGGAACCCAATCCTAATTCTGACACTTTGGACACACAGGCTTGAGGGCTCATGAACCATGAATGGAACAAACGGTTCGCGAAGCAGGCTCCTAATCGACGTCAAGCGGAAAAAAACCCATTGGAACCATCGTTCTGTGATCGCAATAGCAATCACAAAAAACTCATCGTAAAGCTATTTCGACATCATGCGGGGTAATCGTCAAGCGGGGCACCACTGTACATATATATAACCTCTTGCAGGTCATCCACAAGTTACTTCACTGAGCTGCAGCATAAAGAGAAAGATTTGTTCTGCTGTTGAAATGGCCTTCTTCCATCCTAGAGGATTTTTTCTTTTTTTCCTTCACTCAGTTTAGTTTTATAAACTGATACATGATTACACTATTAGTATTGTGTATATGTCTGTAATTGTGGATGAAGGCTTTTGAGTGAATAGGTCACACAATTAGGGTGCTGCGTAGCCTCCCAAGTCACCGCTGTTCCACCCACAAATGGGATTAAAAAAACTGGAGACCCAGAAATATGCGGATAATGTTAACAATTGAGGGAAGGTGTGGGGTGGAATGTCTCCTAAATAGGACATGGCCCCACAGCCTGCCCTTTATCTGAGTACAGAAATAGGCTAGGGGCTTCTACTATCCCCTTCTAGAATGTTCATTTTACTTACTTCAGTGAGACTCTCTTTCTATCTCTCTCTCAGATAAACAAGCATAGGATTACACCCCAAGATTACCCTTTCCCTCATGATGCAAAAATCATCCCCAAATCTTGCATTAAATGAGTGAAAAAATCCAAGCGCTCTCCATGTCCACTCTCATTTGCTGCAATACTGTCAGACTGATGCCAAACATGTGGAAGGTATTCAAAGCCATTCATCTGCCTCTTTGTTGCTGGGAATTTATGTGTTCACAAGTCACCAATTGCTAAATGAAAACCAGAGTATTGATGCCATTTAGAAAAGTCAAAATCAAAATAGCATGTCATTTCACTGATCTTTTCATGTATAAAAGTTTAATGTCAAATATATGATCAAAGACCTATCACTGCATTAATGAGGATTTCCATATTTTGATCTTGTTTTATTAAGTGTTCTGAAGTTAGAAAAATTCCCTAAAGGATAATAGCTTTTATATTACCGCAGCAACAGAAAAACATTTTTAAAACTGTTGCTTTTATCTCCCACCTAGATCTACTCGAGTCACTCGTCCTAGTCAGGAAAGAAGGCTGAGGGGCATGACGCCAAGAGAGGCCCGAAAAGAAAGAACAAGAAATCAGGCTTTCTCGGCGGTGGCCCCTCGACTTTGGAACAGCTTGCCGCCAGAGATCTGCCTGGCACCCTCGCTGGGTGTCTTTAAGAGTCAATTAAAAACTTGGCTCTTTAGGCAGGCCTTCCCTCCCACCAATTCTTGATTGTATTTTCTTGTTTTTGTTATTTATTCTCCCATCTTGATCATATTATTATTGTTGTTTTTAATTGTTGTTTTGAATCTGTTTTTGTGTTCAATATATTGTGAACTGCCCTGAGTAGACTTCTGTCTAGAAGGGAGGGATAAAAATCCAATAAGAAAGAAAGAAAGAAAGAAAGAAAGAAAGAAAGAAAGAAAGAAAGAAAGAAAGAAAATACAACTAATACAACTAGAAAATTTGAGGTACAAGATTCCAGTACTACTTCTGCACTGATGAAGCTCAACAGAAGACCAAACCAAATTTCAAATAATATCTTAGGACTCTCAAGTCATAAAAAACTGCAGGGACTGCTGGAATTTAAATCAATGCTGCATTTTTAAAAGAAATTTTACTGAATGCCTCTATTATTCCAAAAAAATATTTTCAAAAATCCTTTAAAATATCTAAACTAACTGACATTCCCTATGGAAATTTTCCTTTTAGAGCTATTTTTTGAAAAAAAAAAAAAGATTAATTTAATTACAAGCGACATTCTATACACCTAATTTCAAGGATACCTCTCAGGCTCCATTAGGTATTATACAGATTTTTCTTTTTTGTATGAAGAATTTCCTCAAGCTTTTCAAAACCTGAGAGTCTCTTAAGAGCCAGCATGTGACTTAAAAAAAAACAAAAAAAACCAGGGCAAGCATTTCTGACAGTGGCCTGTAAAGTCTGTTCATTCTAATTGCTTGGTTTTCAATTTGCTTTGCCAAACATGATGCCCTTCAGATGTTTTTGGATGACAACTCCTATAATGCCCCACAATTAGCCATGACTGCTGGGACTGACAGAAGTCCACAGCAGAGGAAGGCTGTTGTGACTAATTCTTGCCCCAGAATCTTTAGTGACAAGACAAACTCCTCCTAAATCCAAGGAAATGAAGAAATACCTGAGAGATCTTTAATGACTTCCCAATGTAAATCGTTATCTTTCTCCTTCATCCAACCACACATGCCATCATCAAAGTTGCAGCTATGGATCAGAACACCTGTTAAAAAACAGATCCCAGATCAAGCAGGATTAATAGTTGCAGCTGATTAACTTTTCCACAGCTGACTAGGTGCAGTTAGACTACAGAGTTCATGTTCATAACAGAACAAGCCCATCAGCAATCATATTAGTTTTGGGACTTTTTAAAAATGGGGGTGGGAGGTATTGTCAATGCTTCAGTTACAACAGGCAAAGGGAACTGAATTTCTTTGTAAGCTGTCCCTTCTTATTTTCTGCTTTTTGAAATGATACATTAGCTGGTCAAAACTCGCGTCAGGAGATGAGGTTTGTCAACCTCATTAAAGCTTCCTTACTATTTTATCAGGAAGAACGGGTGCTAATCAGAGCTTCAAAATGTTACCTTATGCAGCTATCAGAATCTAGAAGTCATAGCCACCAAAATGTATCAACGCTCCGGTGCTAGTGTATATACAGTGACAAACTAGGGTCCATACTTTAGAACAGCAAGCACAATGGCTTGGAATGCACAAATATCAACAACATTTTTGAAAATACATATACTCAATGTTTGCTGATTAAAACATGGATGTGCTTTATGTTGCCATCCCTCAAAAGCATTTTGGAAAAAATATTTAATTTGCTTCCTAAATAGTAAATCTAGTGCGCAGTCCTGGGACATGGCATATGGCCTGGAATCATTGGATTTATGCTGAACTTAAGCAGAGGTGCAAACTTGCTCAGTCCTCTACTGAGAGGCCAGGAAGGAAAGAGTAGCAGATTAACAATACAGACAGAAGGTTCATTCCTATAAAGGACCAGGTTTGCCATTTGCCAATGTGATATGAATGTCCAAGGCAACATGTTTGTAATGCCTTGAGTAGGCAGGAAGAAAAGGGAGACGATGCTTCTGAGGTTTCTGCACCAGACATCAAAACAACTTGTCTTGCTTTGAGAAATGCACCCTGACTTGGTTAGAAGGGTGGAAGGGAGCACCATTTACTGTCCCAGGAACAGCTTTGCCCCATAATGTTTACATTTAAGTGATGCAAACTTGCATCAGTTTAAGCCTCCCAATTGTTTTAATGTCTTTTGTTACCTCAAAGCCAACTGGTTACGATACCTGAAGAAATTTAAATTCAGATTCAAGAAGTGTTACATATGCACATGACCAGAAAAGAAAAGAAAAGAAAGAAACCAACAGTACAATATTCCAAGAGAGAAGGATGATAGCTACCTGGGTCGTCGTTTGGTTCATCCTCATTTGCGCTAATGCCTCTTTCAATTTCAAATGTTTCAAAGAGATTATTGCCAACTCCAGGCTGACGTGGAACTAGAGGTGGGGAAAAGGAAGAAATTTAGAAGAGATTAATAAAACAAATGGGCTCTGAATAATGTTTTTATTTAATATTAACAAACTGAGGAAATATGCTCGCTGAAAATTCGATTTATTCTGTCACATTTCGTATGCAGATCCATCACTACTTATCTTACATAATTCATACTATGATATTTATACAGCTTTTATCAAAAACAGATTCCAAAACCTCAAGGAATTGTTTCAAAATGAAGGTCAAACTAGACATTATGAAAATCCCGTGTTTACTGTGATTAGCCCATTTTAAATCCCAACGCTCAATATCCTCTGAGACAAGTGCTTTGACAATCAGACTTGCAAATAAAGGCTATGTATACCTTCCAACATTCAATCACCAGGTCACTAGAATGCAAGACATGGAGGCAAGGGAAAGTATATGATACTGAAAGACTTGGCACGTTTAGCTTTAAGAAAACTGAGGGGAGATATAATAGTACTACTTGAAAGGTAATGATACAGAGGAGGGACAGGATCTGTTCTCCATCATTCCAGAGTGCAGGACATGTAATAATGGGCTCAGGCTATAGGAAGCCAGATTTAGGCTGAATATCAAGAAAAATTTCTTAACTGTTAGAGCAGTATGACAATGGAACCAGTGATTTTGGGAGGTGGTGAGTGCTCCAATGCTGGAGGCATACATTGGGCAACCATCTATCAGATCACTTTGATTTGGATTCTTGCATTAGCCATGGGGATAGACTTGATGGCTTTATAGGCCTCTTCCAACTCAATTATTCTATGATTCTTTATGATGAACAGATGTGTTGTATCACCTAAGGAAGTACCGTTTCTACTGCGATGCTAATGGATTTAGTTTGACCTTCAGATGGTTTTCTCCCTAGAATTCTCTCTCCCTCTCTTTTGTTTTCCTGTCTCCCCTGGCATGTTACCACAACTTCATTTCAGAATATAAGATGCACCGTTACTGCAATAAGATGCAGTTCCCTGTGGCAGAAACAGATGACACCAGTTTTGCAAAGAGAAGCATTATCCATCCAAAAGGCATCGCTTCAAAACTTTTGTATCTCTGAAATCATCTGGAATGGTTATCTCCTGGTGACCAATCACAAAAAGAAAAAGAAGGTAATTTGCAATTTCCAGAATCACGGAAACCTCACTGTAGGAAAAATTACATTGAAGGAAATTCTGCTTTTAATTTTGAAGCTGCTACTTCCTCTGTTACTGGTCTTAAAGAAAAAGGGAAACGCTTTCCTTTTGCATTTTAAATCTAGTACATTTGCATGATTACTAGTCATGTAGGAATTCTTGAAAATCCTGCATTCTTCTTGCCTATTGCACAGTGTATGTCCAACTGATTGTGTGCCAGAGAAAGCCCACATCTTCTCCACTGTGACAAGCCACTTGTCAGCAAAGCAAACAAAATACATCAAACAAAAATATTTTCTCTATAGCACCCCAGTCCAAAAAGAAGATAGAGAAATAAGAAGCTGCTTTAATGTGAACCCCAAAGAAATTGACTCCATCTAATGGTTCTTTTGTGTTCACCCGCCTTCAGAAGGCTCTGCAGCCCATTATCTCCATACCAAATTTAGGCAACATTCTACAATATACAAACATCACTGGTGGATAACAGCTGTAAACTGTAGCTAAACAGATTACTGCACTTGTTCCAGCTGTCTTAAAAATTCCTTTTCTAGAGACAAACAGACGTCCAGTGCATCATTAGAGATAGTAGCCGTGCATTTCAGATTTGTTACAGTTTCCAGATATTAATGCATCAAGAGGCTTTTAGAATATTTGTGCTTTTATTTCCTTACTTATACTGAAACATACAACCCAATAATGACATTAAAAATAAATAGGTAATTTATAATACGGAAGCAAAAACTTTTTTTCAAAAATTCAGGTTGACTTGAAGCAGTACGTTTCATGTTACACTGCTGATAATTGTTGTAATGTTTCTAATAAATAGTTACTTAGTCACTGCTACCAACTTTGCTTTGAAAAAATCCTTTGAGCAGACAATACAATGTGTACAATGTAAAAGGAAGACAGACAGAGAGAGAGAGAGAGAGAGAGAGAGACTCTCTACCAGAGGTTTTATTTTGTACTTTGTTCAATCCTCTTCCCACTGGCCAGTACTAGGAAAAGTTACTCTCTCTTTAAAATAATAATAATAATCTCCCAGAGTCTCCATCAGGAGATTCTAAGTTGTAGCCCAAATAAAATCACAAATGTATCTAAAGATTCTAACAATGTGACTGTAAAAGTGCCACCTGGGAACTCAAGAGTTTCCACCTTCATCATGCAAATGAAACAGTCGCAGCCAATACAACAGACAACGATAACCTTTTAAATCGTTTCTCTCTTACATGTATTACCTGGATTTCTAGGTAATGCTTCAGAACAGCGGTTCCCAACTTTGGATTCCCAGAGGTTCTTGGACTCCAGCTCTCGGTAATCCTGGCCATCATAGCTAGTGCTGAAGGTTTCTGGGAATTTTAGTCGAGGAACATTTGGGGACCCAAGTTTGGGATCTACTGCTTTAGAAGGTAGACTGGATAGGGAAGACAAAGGAAACAGGCGTAGCCACCTATTTACCCACCTTCCTTGTGCAGGGCGAAAACCTCGTGGCGCAGTGGTTAAACCGCTGTACAGTGGGGTCTTGACTTGAGAACTTAATCCGTATTGGAAGGCGGTTCTCAAGTCAAAAAGTTCTCAGGTCAAATCTGCATTTCCCATAGGAATGCATTGAAAACCATTTGATCCGTATCTGCTCTTTTCCGTCCATAGAAACTAATGGGAAGCTGCTATTCCGCCTTCGACCACTAGAGGGGGATATTTTGTTTCTTTTTTTCTTAGGTCAAGAAAGGTTCAGGGAAGGCAGGGAAAATACAGTCCAGGCAGTACAGTACCAGGCAGTCCGAAGACTGTCTCCCAATCCACTCTCTAAACGCTGGGAGGAGTGAGGAAGCAGACAGGCACCCTTTTCACTGGCCAACAGTTAACTGAAAGTTCAAATTTTACACTTTCCCTGCCTCCCACGTGGTTTTTTTTAGTTCTTAACTCAAATCTAAGTATGTAAGTCAAGTCAATATTTTCCTATGAGAGCGGTTCTTAAGTCAAAATGCTCTTATATCCTTCCGAGGTCGGTAAAATGAGTACCCAGCTTGCTGGGGGGGGGGCAATGTGTAGCCTGCATAATTAACTTGTAAACCGCCCAGAAAGTGCTTGACGTGCTATGGGGCGGTATATAAGCAGCACGCTTAGCTTTTTGTATATAAGCAGCACGCTTTGCTTTACAATAGTTCAATTAACTTTAGTAAATCAATTTGTTCCCGTTTGTTAAAAAAATTGTTTGCTTTTGCTAATTGGAATGCCATTGCCCTGTTTCCCGGAAAGTAAGATCTAACGTGAAAATAAGCCCTAGTATGATTTTTCAGGATGCTCGTAATATAAGCCCTACCCCAAAAATAAGCCCCAGTTAATTGAAACCCCGACCTCCACCATTGTGCAGCATTGTGCAGCAACCAGAAGAAGATGACATGACTGTAAAATCACGTCATATTCCTAAAAATCCCTTAAAAATAAGCCCTAATACATTTTTGGAGCAAAAATTAATATAAGACCTTGTCTTATTTTCGGGGAAACACAGTACAAAGAGAAAAATACACTACTTGGGATACATGAATGTCTTAAAACACATTTTAAAGAATTCTAACTCTACAGCAGAGAGTTTGAAGAACCTATCACTACCCTACAGTTCTAGCTTCAGAGTAACAATGTCAACAGAAGAACGACACTAACTGAGGGATTTTAGGAGTTACAGTTCCACAGAGAAACTTTCCTGAACTCTGTCCCACTGGGAATGTAGAATCCAAACAAAGGTTATGCAGCTTCATTTTAAAATATACGTTTATCTTGCCCTTCGCTGGCTTTAATAGCTCTGTTGCTCCTTCAAATAATCTTTTTAAAAAGTGAGTAGAAATGAATAGAAATCTGTTTGTACACACAATATCAACTTTCCAATTCATAGATTGGGACCTGTGACAGACTTCCTAAAATATGAACAATCCATCAAAAGTTTGGATCAGTGACAAAAAGTTTAATGGAGATCAGTTTCTATTTTATTTCTACTTATTAAGTTTATTAAAAGTAATTTTGATGGTTTCTGTATGCTTAGACAAAGTTATGGGGAAAATAATTAGCTTGCTCTATTAATTCAAATAGTTTTAAGAAAAATAAATGAAGACTTCTTCTAAACTAGGGAGTTCCAAGGTGAGGTAGCATGATCCAAGTATTTCAAAGGTCTAATTAAAAAGAAGGCTTTTTCTAACTCTACCTTTTCATCTTGAATGCTTTTATCTACTTGCCAGTGGTTGAATTTGTTTGGGAACGGATTGTGTTGTGGTTAATGGTGATTAAAGGTTTCAGTTACAAGTTGATTCTAAGTGGCAAAATGAGGTTTGGTAAATGTAGGAAGACCTGTACATCAAATGTTTAACATGGGATTAAACAGATTGCTGAATTAGGACTTTATTGAGAGAAAAGAGGCAGAAACAAGAACACAACCTCCCATGTTCTGATACTGAAATCATTTCTAGAGCATGGATTCTTGTATAGCCAAAATGGCATACCTAAGCATGTTCCCCGTAAATACATACATTTCAAAAGCCAGTGTGATAAGCATACAGCTTCCCTTCCAACCCAGTGCAGAAAGAGATTCCTATCCACCATTCTATATAACTTTTCTACATGTACATAAAGTAGGGAATCCTGTTTATTACAGCTTCACACGTGCTAGTCACAGCAAGGGTGTTGAATTTCCATTGCCTCTTTCTATCATTTTATTCGATTAGGTTCTGCCAACAGGTCCCTTGAGGTAGTTTGCAGTAAGATATAATTAAAATACTAACAATGAAACAAAAGAAAACCCTGAAATGCATCATCACCACTCTCCAATTTCAATAGCTAAAATGGAATAAAGCAGCAGC